GTAAGAATTTAGGAATAAGGGCAACCAGTCGCAGCCTGCAGCTTACAGCAGTCCGTGCTCTTAAAAGCCATCGTAATCAGCCACTGCAAGGGTGACAATACACAAGAGCAGGAAGGCGGACCCATAGCTTCCCGAGATGGGCCTTGCTGATTGACCATCATCCATCCTCGTTGTGCACAGGGACTTGTTTTTTTTCTTGTGGACGTCTCTTCTATTTAAGCTTTGCTGATGGTGGTGGGTGGGGAAGGTGAGCAGGTGAAGCAGAAGGGAAGCACAACAAAAAAATCCATTAAAGCCTTTGTGAACAAGCCAGGGTAGGGAGTGTTGACCTGGATTTGGCTGAACACAAGTCTTGGTAATGAGCGTGGGACTTTCGAAAGTAAATCGCTGCTGTTACTTGAACAGATGCCAAATAATCTGCTACTGCTTTCACATACAGTCAAGTGTTATTTGCCTCTGTACCCTCCTGATTCTTGCCCTTTATCCATGGCATGAGGATGATGAAGGCACATTTTCTCTCTTTTACCTAGCTCAAGGTGGGAGGTGTTCTTGCATTCACATGAAGCTATTCCAGCCCTTCAAGAGGCTCGAGGTCATTTCGGAGTCCTGCTGAATTGTCTTGGGAAGGTCTACACCCAGACAACAGGTAAAAGCCCGTACATCCTTTATTTGAGCATTTCACAAATAAATTACAAGTTTCTTTTCAACCACATCATAAATCAAAACGTCTATTTACACCTCAGAAACAGCAAGCAATTCAGCAACTAGGGCCCAAAGGAACGATTAACTGGAAAGGTAGCTGAATTAAGTATCTTTAAAAATCAAACAAAGTATTTTCATACTTGTTTGAACATAAAAAAAAAAAAAAAAAAAAAAAAAAAAACCTTGGTGATAACTTACAGTGTTCATTATGGGGCAAACATAATCTCGTAGGAGGCTTCTGGTTGACATGGCAGCACCAAAACAGTTGTGTGCACTGATTGCACCGTCCTGGTCCCGCTGAGGCGCCGGCTTGCTGCAGCCCCACGTCGAGTGCATGGGGACCATTCACAACCCCCGTCTTTAGCCTACTCTCGTTTGACCTCAGATGATAAAATACAGTTAGATATTGATGCTGAGGGCTAGCGTAACTTTTGGGGATGGATTAAAAACTTTCCCAAATGGCTGACCTGCTGAAAATGCAGTGATGCAGAACTCCAGCTCTACCCTTTTCCCCTTCTCCTACTGATGACAGCTAAAACTGAATCAGTAAACAAGTATGCATATCTTCAAATGATATAAATTGTGTTAAGAGGGGACAGCTAAAGGTAGCATAAATACAACATAAGAATTGGAATAAGATTTAAAATAATTTTTTTGATTATCGGATTGATTGGGCATACAGAACTTGTGGCTTTTCCTAGCTCGTCATAATTCATGGAATTAAACTGCTTATTCCAAGTCTTCATGTTGCATTAGTCTCCCTCCATCTGCATATAGTTTATATATATATATTTATATATGTATGTGTATATCTCTATATATCTACATATATACACACACATAGCAATTGTGCAAGTAGTAACTTTTCATTGAGAATGTATGAGTGATTTGGACAATCATAAATCAACTAGCATACCTTGACGCTTGGTTAGATAAAACAGTGTAGGCAATGGGCTGTGTTTTACACAGTAAACTAGATAGCTATACTGACTTTAAATGAATCAACCACTATAACAATCGCTACTGAAGTACTTTGTATGTTAACTCTGAAAATTACAGACCACAGAATTATTAGAAAAACTATGACTTTTTTTGGTCACCTCTGGACAGTGTCTCCTTCAGAGAACTGAGTTTCTAGAGCTACAATAAGGGGAAGAGAAGATCTTTTTTGCCATATACGTGGTAGTCATAAGTTGATGTGATTCTTTTTTAATACCACTTAACATGTGTGTGTGTGTATTTTTTTCCTTTGAAATGAGGCATTATTAAACCCACTTAGAAATAAACTTGACCTTTAGACCAGCAGTGATGTGAAATGTCTTGGGTACAAACTTCTGCTCTGTCTCAAGCTGCTAAGTGGCAGCAATTGCGAAGAAAATGGTCTTTTTCTCAATATTTCTGAAAGGAAGTCATGCAAAAGAAGAACCAATGATGTAAGTTGAACTATAACATATTTCTTTCCCTTCATAATGATAAAACGTCTAAGCTAGATCCCTATGAACTGATGATAAGTCCATAATTTAATAGAGGAGGTTTGTATTATAGTTATCCTTAACTTAAATGACTATTCAAGAGACTAGGAAGAATTATTTGTCTAGAGGCCACAGCCATTTAAAGTAAAGGTTAAACAGAATTGTACTGGGTATCTTAGAGACATGATAAAGGGGGCAGTGAAGGGAGTGAGTTATCTGTGGGCAACATCTAGGTGGTAGTTTCCTCCGTATGCCACAAAAGACAGACTTTCAGTAATATATATATAAATAAGTACTCAACCATCATCTTGTGACAAATGTTGCTGCTTTACTGTTCAGTGTAGACTAGCAAAAACAGTATGTGGGAGGTTTAAGTGGAAAAAAAAATCTAAATATGACTGAATTTCAAACAACTTTAGTAATGCAGTTGTTCTTTGATTCATACCAGTGTAAATGAGATGAGGACGGGACACAGCAAGTGTATTAGCCAGTGTTTCACCATTACCTAATTTTCCTTGCTACCTGCTAGGGAATTTGGCTGGTTTCCCTTTGTTTTAATCCTCTGACCTACAGTTACTGAACTAACTGTACATTAATAAATGCACATAGGCATATTGCAAGCATGCACATGAGGTGTATGGACAGGGGTTGGATTAGCAAGTACACCACCAGTGACACCTTTACTTTGCTAATAAAACTCCTCTTAGTTACTAACTAACTTGATCGTTATAACCAGTTTGCACTTTAAGAGCAGATACTGTTTTCAAATGAAATGCTTTTGTAAAAAGTTTTGCACACATTACAAAATTAAAAATCAAAAACCTGACTTTCAGAATGTAGACCTCATTGGCCTACAAGCATAGATGGAAATAAATGCTGTAGTGCCCCAAACAGCTAGGGAGAAATATGTGCTATGTTATAAAAACAGCAAGCTATAGCTGAGCAAAGATAAAACATAATCAACTATTAAAAAAAAGATGACTGCAATCCTCTCTGTTTTGTCAGGATATCATGAAAGACCAATGAATTATTGTAGCGCCTTTCTTTCAGATGGGCATCATCCTGAGCCTCTGCTCTTCTCCAGGTAAGAAAACTCAGGTTCTTATGTGTCTCCTTCCATGTACAGTGTTATGGGACAGGGCATGAACACTTGTTGGAAGGGGTTCCATAGGTTCAATTCTTGCAGACAAAGAGGGAGAAATACAAGCATGCCAGCTTCATTTTCTCATGGGTGCTTATGCAATCTGTGATAGCTTGGTGTGAAGCTAGAGAGCTGTAATAAGAGCTGGGAGGATTTAATTTGGGTGTGGAAATAAGGTGATAAAGGTGAATGAAGGCTTTGATGCATCTTGATTCAGTTTCAACCATAATAGTGACCTCTCTACAATGAAGAACAATCTGTCTTGGGCGTGCTTGGGGAGGATGCTAGCCCTTCAGCACTCAGTGCGGCTCCCGGTTCCAGGTACAGCAAATTTATCTTTCTCCCAATTGTAGATGTCCTTGGAGTGAGCCCGCCCTAATGTGAGCCTTTTTGTTTTAAACTACAAAAAGGTTATATATTTTTTAAACTTGATGCAAATTGGACTCACATCCATGGTGTCTTTCCAGAGATTGTCTGGGTAGAGGAAAAAAGCAAATAGATGATTTATGTACGAGGATGTTGTCATTTCTTTTATTCAAGATAGAGCATAGGTGCAATTCATCTTTGGGTGCACTTGGATGCATTCATTAAATGTTTATGTTGTTAAGTCTTTGTTGATTTTCACTTTTGCAAACTTTGCATGGAAACTGTAATTTTTTTTTTTTTAAAAAAACACATGGTTGTTGATGATAAAGCACCAGTATGTGACTATTGCAAGGCATGAGGCAGAACAAGGGAACTTGAAGCATGCCCATGTTAATGTTTGAAATCAGGCACTTCCTGCTCACATGCCTGTACACTACAGGAAACTTCTCCACAAATATTCATTTTCCCTCTTCACCATGGTTGTTGTTATTTTTTTTTTAAAAAAAAAAAAAAAAAAAAAAAAACCTGCTGTCATATTTGGTACAATACAAGAATTCAGAGAAAAGCTATTGTACAGCAATTTTTAACCACCAACACACATTTAATATCTAGTGTAGTGTTATGGAAAACTAAATGTATGTTTGGTTTTTTTTTTTTTTTAATGCTTCCAAAAAGCTCTACTATTGAAACATATATGTGATGTGGAAGATATGCTCATAATCTCACTGTAATAAAGACAACATACAGTATGACTCATAAGTACTGTAAAAATGCTAACTAAAGAATTCAGCTGCAAAGTTCTATTGCATAAGGAAGCGTTCTTGTTTCAACTTTAAATAAGCAACTTTATTAAAATATTCTAAGACACTTACCCTAGTTACTGGCAAGCTCTAATAAAAGCCACAGTCTGTCACTAGTATACTTTTTTTGTGTTAATTTTATAAAAATTTGGTGTGAGCGTCGATGGATCATTTACAATTTATTAACAATATGGTCACCTTGACACGGCTGGAAGGTTTTCTTTACCTTACATGCTCACAGAATTAAAAAAGGATCCATACTCATATGTAACGAACACCCTTCGTTTCCCCCATGTCTGCAAAAAGAGGTGTGGTAACTTTACACACACAAGGAAATGCTCTTGTTACTCCTAACTGGAAACTGTGTGTACATGTGTATGTATGTATTTTATATATATGTGTATATATATATATATATATTCAAACCAAACTATATATATATATAAAATGTGTGTGAATATATTTATATAATAGGGCATCTGGTTTCCTCCTCACACTTAGGAGTGTGATGCCAGCTGTGCAGAGGCCAAGAGTGTGATGATGATGATGCTCCGGAGCGATGTCTTTACTGATGCTCTGCCTTGGCCAGTTGTCCCAGCACATGCCTATGGGCAGGAGCACGGTGGGCACCAGATTTCATGGGTGCTACAAGTGCTGCAGGTCACCCAGGGCCATGTTGCTCTGCTCTGGCCCTCACCATCCTCCAGATTAACATTTTCGAAAAGCTAAACCTGCCATATAACTTTTCTCTCTCTATAAATATATATATATATATACATACACTCATACATATACAAATACTAACCCACAGACAAAATATTTTCTGGACAGTTGAATAGCAACAAGTCGACAGATAGAAAAGAAAAATGGAGTCATTCTGGTTCTTGCTCCGCCAAGATCAGGTCTGGATGGCGTGGTCTTTAACATTCAGTGAAAACTCACGTAAACCTTGCATCGTGCGAGAGAAATCCATTAATCAATCGGAGTAAGGGTAGAGGCTGTCAAACGCTGATGGGTAGTCGGGCAAATTAAGTGAGGTGGCAAATTAAACCGGATCTGGAGCAACTGAGGCCTAGTAGTGAAGAACAGTAACTGTAAACTGCCATCTTCCACTCTGACGTTTTCTTTTTTGTTTGTTTTTTTCCCCCGTTGCCACGGCAACGCAGTAGGACGGCTTCAAATGTCACGAGTTCTTACAGACCTAAGTGATGGGAAACGCGTGTGATTATTGCTACGCACATGACAGCATCTTGTCTCCAAGAAAATGCACATTTCTCAGTAACTCAATATGAATTTTCTAGCTTGAGGAGCAATTATTTGGGAAGACAGATATCTCCAGGAAGCATCACTTACCTTTGTCATCTAACTCCTCCCTTTCCATTTTTTTTTTTTTTTTTTAAGGGAAGGTGCTACCCTTTGAAGGTTTTTACCCATTTTTACTCATGTGGGTTGGATCCTGGGCAGACCAGTACAAGTCATGACCTTACAGCACTGGGGCACCAAAAGGACAGCGTTTAATATAAATACAATTTATATTTAGTAGTTTATTATATTATTTGTAACTATAACATAAACAACATTATATAATAAATATAATTAAAGATTTTTGTTGTTATTTTGGTATTATTTGAGTTCATTTCCACGTTAACTTCTTCCAACTATCCTGATGGTCTATAGAGTGAGGCTGGCACTGGGACAGTGCACAACAGCCTGTCCTTCACCTACAGCACGACCTCAATTCTGCTAATGAAGGTAAGTAACCAAATCTAAGCAAGCCCAGGAATCCACAGAGGGGCTGATAAATGGGCTTATTCATTAGCTGAGTAAACAGCAATGTTTTGTTTAGTTTTATGAGCTTAAGTTTGTAGTTCATGATGCCATCACTAATATGTACAAGGACTTTGCCTCAACCTGAATGCACTCAATAACTGCAGTCAATGGGTCACCCTGCTTGCTTCGGTAAGCAAAAATGCAATGGCTTAGAAAGGGTAGGAACAGAGCAAGGGTAACCTTTTACCCACTGAAACAAAAACAGCTTTTAATTAGAAAAAGAGACAGTCTCCCAAAATGAATGATGCTGCATAGTGAGACACACCACTTCCAAATAAGATCCAGTCTAGAACTGCTTGACCTGAGGAATTTATCATGCTATTTAAAGCGAAGACTTGGCTACAGAATTAGGATCCAGACATATATACAAGAACTTTGTGCGGTTCATGCCAAAACCTCTAAGCGTTTGGATTGGGAATTCCAGGTAAGGCTAAAATCTCTCATGAGTAATTTGATTTCCCAGAACAACGAAAAGTGGAAGGTCAGGACTTTGGCCTCACAGACCATTGGAAAAACAGCATTTCCAGGTAGCAGTAAGACTTAGTACCACTAAGTGGTATTTGCTTAAGCCTCACTTGGAGGAAATAATGCTGGTTTTTGAATCAGCAACGCTGCTCCAAATCTGCTGGAAATCCCTGGAGGTCCCCTTGCTAAGGACAGCCAATTGTATATGATGAATGAACAGGAGCTGTAGCACTGAATTGCTATATAATCCATAGGCTGAACATTCACCAGAGGAAACTGTCAACACAAAATTTATAAATATCACACAAATTTGGGCAGTAGTGACTGGTTCACCTACAGCTTGTAAATAAAAGGCAACATATGTTGATTTATCTGGCAGACCTGAAGAAAAGCTTGTATATTTTACATTGCATTGACACATAATAAATATACTAGCCCTGCACCTTGCCTTTCCCAAGTAAACTAAATATTAAGATTTGTTAGTTCAGTGGAAGTAATTGGCCAACTCTGAAGCGGGGAGCTTAACTAGCCTTTGGGTTTTGGACACCAAATTGCTCTGGAAAAGGAGTAAACCATCTAATAGACCATGTAAGCCTCTACACTATTGACTTCAAAGACTAGAGCCACCTTCTGTTGCACAGTGGGCTAATTTAATGTTTATTCCTTATGCTGAGCCATACTATAGAAGAACATGGAGAAAAAAATATACATAATTTGTTAAGACCAAGATTTCATAATACTGCATTAAAAAAAAAAAAATCTTTTAGTATGTGACCTCATTCACTGTGGTTCAGGTTACTGAGCGCTCATCTTTCATCAGAACCCATCTAGTCAGCTAGCAAGCCATCTTATTTGCAAGCAGTAACACTTCTACTGATGTCACAAAGTGCTTTGGCACCTCAAGGAATTACAGCTTCCCTGTTGCAGCTTCAGCAGCCTTAGCTTTATCTGAACATATTTGCATTTTTGTGGCTGAACAGCCTGTTTGGTCTAAGGAAACAAGACCGAATGCAGTAATTCAAAGAAATTTCTTAACCAGCCTTTGAAAGATGTGTTCTTTACGAGGCCAAACTCTTCCCCATTCTTAAGACCATGCCACTTAAACTGCAGTTAAAATCTCATGAAAATTAAAGGCATTTAAGTTTCATGCTGACCTTCTGTACAGGAATGAGGTTTATCCGAGACGCACGTCTCCTCTAATTCTCATTTAACACAGAGGAAGAGAGTTAACACAGCTGGAGTTTCGAGCTCTACTCATGAATGCTCCATTTCCTTCAGATTTCCTCCCATTACCCTCTCATCAGAAATATTACATTAATCTTTGCCTAATTAAAAATTTACATTACATCATGGACTCTACTGAAACCTCACTAATGTTAAAGGGGTAATGGGTAAAAGGCAGAAGAGATGAGACCCATGCTTCTGATTAGGCAGTTAATCAACATTCAGGTATTTCTTTCCTTTCCATTAATTATGTACAAAGTGATCCGTGTAGTCTTAATGTAGAACTTACTTACAAAAACATAAAGGGCTTTCATGCACATCCTTGGCTGAATTGTCACGGGCAGTTTTCAACACCAGAAGTCTTACAGCGTTTTGCCTCTATATCTGTAAATTATGATACTCTGTACACCCGTGTACAGTAATCATTTAATAGCTGTGTTCTTCTGTGACCTCTTCAGCGATCCAAAGACCTGTCTAATGCTTTGCTGCAAGTGCCAAAATTTTTCAAATCGCTTATTTTGACTAACCTCATATTGTCTTCTCCAAAGAGACTGGAATTCTTTCACCCAGAAATCTCACCGAACTAGAAAGGCTGAAGCAGCTGTCCTCAGACTGATACCACATGTGCTTTCTCTTGCAATTAAGAAACCCATTTTTAGCAGCATAAATAGCAGTAGGTATGCCTGTGGCTACAGCAAATTAGTGATGTCACTGAGCAGTAATAACATTGTAGAAATTTTTACAAAGAAGAGAAGGGTAAATGAGCTTATTCTGGAAATTCTCAGCTTATCGTATATAATTTGTTTCCCATTTATGTTAGCACATGCTGTCAAGGTTCTTAATGACAGGAAAAATACAGTATGCATTAGTACTGTACGTGTGAAATGAATGTCTTACAATTCTACCCAAAGCTCCAGTAAGCACTTAAGCATCCATGTCCATATTTAACTCCAGGAGCTGAGATCTGGCACTTGTTGTGCCTTTGACCAAGGCTGGCCTTGAAGACTCTCAGGTAATTTCTAGAATAAAACAGCTAAGATGTTCCAGATCTTCTTTACTTAAATGGTATTAATTATAGCTGAGCATTTTCCCATAGCAATATGACCTAAGTTTGATTGAATGGACACAAAAAAAAAAAAAAAAAAAAAAAAAAAAAAAAAAAAAAAAAAAAAAAAAAAAAAAAAAAAAAAAAAAAAAGCTTCCCTTCTTTCCCAGATCTTCTGAAACAAAACTATTAGCAGTGCCAGTCTGAAATCTGAAAGTATTTTCTCTTGGTGTAATCTGATAAAGTCAACTGAACGGTTGAAAACAGTCAGCAACTGAAATGAATAAGTATATTCATTTGAAATAGTACGACTAAGCAAGTCTCCCAATTTTTTTTTTGTGTGTGTGTTGAAATTAAAATGCATCAAAAGCAAGTTAGCCATCCTTATAAAGCAACATATAATTGCTTAAGCAGTCAAATCTCATCTTCCACAGTAGTACAGCTTTGTTTACTATCAATCTTGAATAAGTGGAACATGAACATAATTATATACTAATGCCCATTTGAAATACCTAAATTACAGTTTTTTAACCACCACAAAAAAAAAAAAAAAAAAAAAAAAAGACTGTTATTAAGCAAGAGTAAAAAATGACAGGAAAGTAATAGGCTCAGAAGCCATGGAAGAGGAGAAATCTGTAAGGTTTGAGTCAATCTGAATATCAATCTGCATATTTTACAAAGAAATACTGAGGTGCTTTCATGTAGTGTGGGCACCTCTTTACAGAGTAGGGAACTATCAAAGTATGAACTTAAATTAGGATAGATCTAACTTTTACAGCAAGACTATTATCAGCGTGGTAATTTTTAAAATATTGGCCAAATTAGGAGACAGTTTACTTTTTAGAAATGTGGAATATGTCTTGTTAATTAAGATCAAAAATACAATTTTATTAAATGGCATTCTTCTGCAGAGTAGAAGATTGCATTAGAAGCTTAAAAATATGCTGAAACAAGCTAAAAAGGTTGAAAGCTGAAACAAGCTATAAAAGATAAATGTATATACAGATAGATGTTAATTAATCAATGCTATCCTTTATGAATACCCAAAATGTAATTTGCAACGAAAATAAAATATTCTATCAACCCTGGAGATTCCTTCTTCAACGTGATGTGTTTAAAGCTTCGTCTTTTGCTTATAAGACTATTTAAATAAAATATTATTGCTAAGGTGAGTGACCTATGGGATCACTCTGAATTTTACTTGTTCAGGACAAGACTAATATGCCTTTAGCTCTCATTTTAGTCCCTTGCTTCGATACATTTGAGACTTAAGACTTTCATGTTGATAGAATGTAAAGGAAATATGAAATGCAATTATGCTGTGATTATATAATTGAAACAATTATTGTAAAAACTCCAAGGCTGAAAATTCAAATACTCCTTTAAACAACGCTATGCATATTTTTTAATTGATGTAAAACCTAGTCCTGCCAGCTAAAAGAGTTCTTGCACAGTCTCCCATAGGGCTGGGGCAGTTTTTGTTGTTGACTTCATTACAACAATATCAACAATTTGTTTTTCTCTTGATATTTCTTTGACTTATTAGGAAACAACCTGAAAAGTCTGGAAGACTCTCAAACGTTTCCCAGCCACTAGTCTGTAACTCACGTCCTACAAGTCCTTTGTAGCACAGCTCTAGATTTGGTCCACTCTGTGATGGAGTTCTTCATGGCTGCTCAATTGACCACGTCACTGTCGAGGGATAAAAACCAGCTCTGCCAAGCCAATACAGCTTGAAAAGAGATTGCTGCTAAATGTTTGTAAAACATATATTTATAGTGATTTATTGCAAAATTGATGGCTTGAGCAAAATTTGCAAGGACAGCTATATTTGTCATTCTGTTAATTCAATATCTAAATGCAACACCATCTGACAGTTTGTAGGGTGCAATTAAAGGCCAATTTTCTCTCTCTGTGTCAAGTCATTATGGAATTTCATAGCTATTCTCTTACTAAAAATCTCTGGAAGACTTGCAATATAAAGGACCTTGCTAATAAATCTACTGTCCGTGAGCCCTATACTTTGGTTGTGCTCATTCTGAATGAAGGTGTTTTAGTCAAGTCGGTGCTCCTGATTTCTCCCCCTTTTTCTTAGTAACAGATACCTGCAGTTCTTCTCTGTGACCAGAAACCTAAATCTGTTTTCTGATGTCTAAACAAAATTTGAACAATTTGATCCTATCTTGTCTCCAGGCATGGAGAGAAAAAGCTGGGAGAGGACAATCTGCCACTGCAGCAGGTCTTATCCTTAACTGTGACAGTGACAAGCTATCTCCATTAATGACAGATAAGACTGAATATTCCTTCCAAATTTTGCTAGCACACACTATTATAACTTTGGACAGTCCTGTTGCTGTGCACCAAGCACCTTCCCAGCTTGACTTCAGGAATTCTCAGTGATAATAAGTTTATGAGGCTACATATGAATTACAAAAACATGCTTTTTTAAAAAAAAATCATCTCATTATTTTGCCACCTTTTAATTCCACCAAACACCTTATTGCTTTGCCATGGAACAACAACAGCAGTGGGCCCACAGAGCTTGGCAGCTTGCATTTGCTAATTCTGGCAGACATGAATCACAGATTTTTCTTGTTCCAAGTACATCTACCTTTCCAAGGGCTTCTGGGCAACGCTGTGCTCTCTATCCATTCTCACTCAATATACTGAACACAGCAGGGCAGCTACAGAATAGGCGAAACTGCTGCTTTTTGCATGCATTACAGTGTTAACCAGGCTCTCCACGTCCATGCTCAGCCACTTCAGAAATCTGCCACATATGACTTCTTCCAGGACTTACAAAAGACGTATGCACTCTAAGTATGGATAATAATTGCACCATTTAAATGATAATGCCATGATGTTGTGTATGGAGAGGAGATTCATGCAGGGCATTTTTATCATGAACGGCTCTTTCACAGGGCCATCTATCCTCGTGCCAGATGTCAAATACAAAAAGAAATCCTTTGGCATGAGAAGCAAAGTTCATTTGACTGAAGGATTTACCTCCTAGGAATAAGAGCCTCGTAAAACATAAACACTGGGAGCAAAGTGAGCCACGTAAGGGCTTTTGCAAAAATTAAACCCATAACTTGCCACTAGAAATGGGATATTTCATCTGTTCAATAAGCACTAAAGTTCTCTTTGTTTTTATGGCATCGTAATCTTTGATTACTCTGATAAATATTTGGACTACACAAAACATTGTGATGGAACTAATCGCAGATATAAAAGAACTATGTGTGAAAAAGAACGGGGAATGCAATGATATCAGCACATTTTAGAGAAGTTCAAATAGAGAACCACATTAATTTAACTGGCTCCTAGTCTCATTCTTTTACGTCTCATATAGGGAGGGACAACCCTAGGGAAAGGATTGTGGAAGTTGTTATGCTAGCTGCCTTGGCATAAGCAAGAATAAACATTTTTGCTGGCCCATGGGATACCAGCCTCCTTGTGTGGAACTAGTTGGATCAGTAACACAACTGAGTAGTGGCAAATTTTGCCCCAAACCTGTTTGTGGTCCTGTGCTGAGGATTAAATCTCTGCATGCTGCAGCCTACCTGTTCAATTCATGTTCTCACTCACAGCTGTCTCAGTCCAGCAAGGAAGCTCTTCCTTTCCCTGTGTCCGTCTGCACCCTTCCCACTGCCACAGGTCCCTATTCTGTCCCCAGATTAGCTGGGAAGATCTGCAAGTGGCAAGGACAGTGTTCCAGACACTAGATCTACTTCTTAATACCACACAAGGAAAATGATAGGACTTCTCTGGGGACAAGAAACAGCAATATGGATACTTGCAAAAGCAAAATACTTGGCCTCATTGTATTCTGAGAAGATGCATTAAGGTAAACAAAGTTCAAATGATAATCATGCCAGATGAACATCATCCTCATGGCAAAAGTCACACCTTGTATAGCATCAGCAGCATTTATGAAGTGGTAGCGAGAATATATTTAAATCAATGAGCTGCTTATTTATATCACCAGTCTGATAGCATCATGTACTGCCAAGTATTTCTAACATTTTATTTCTATCAGCCGAATTGTGCTTTTGGTTCCAGCAGGCTAAACCCAGAATAACTGAAGCAAAGCCAAAGGAGACACTTCAGACGTCACCGACTGGAACAAAGAATGGGAATTTGCACTTAACATTTATATAGTCCTTTTCATCTTCAAAGAGCATCACAAACATTAGCCTATTTCTAATTCTCTCACAATGACCTTCATGCTAACCTTTTGGGATAAAAGTAATATGCTATAAGGAAAAAAGAACTGACAAGATGTGTAATCAAGTATACAACAAACCTCAGAAGTGTAAACTCTTTTTTTTGACTTTCTCTGCCTCATGATACATTCTATCTTATCAAGAAAGTAACATCTTTGACCATGGCGCAAGTATTAATTTACCATAAAGTGTATTTTACTAACATTAGATGATGGTAATAACCCTTGAATAACAGATTTACTAGCATAGTTATAGGGTAAAGCTATTTCTTTTCTTACAGATAAAAAAACTCAGAGTAATAGTGTAACAAAACTTTGGTGAAAACTGCCACAGGGCAAGCCAGGGGCTGATTTACGGGTCTGAATCACTGTTCTTCTTCAGATTTATTTCTTTTTTCTTTTTCTTTTTTTTTAAACCCCTTCCCATTCAAATTACGTTTTTTCTAAAGCTCTTTCACAAAATTTTCTCAGATGCAGCAGAAGTTTCCCCTGTGTATCAGCTCTCTCTCCACCCCACCCACACTTGCAATTCTGTTTATGAATTTTGGGTGTCTCTAGGCTCAGGATCTTGAGCACATCCTGTATGTTCCAGTTGCTTGCAAGCTTTACACAGAGGAACAGACTGAAGCAGGCAGCACTGATTTTCATGGTGACCCAAAACAGCCATTGTTGCAAGAACACCTTTAATCTCCTGATTCTGTTTCTGAATTGAAGTGAGGGGAGATGAAAGGAAACATCTCACAAATCTGCTACTACAGCTGGTACTTCTTCATTTATCATATGCTAGCTTTAATTCCCCTTGATTCATCTTCAAATTATTGCTTCTTTTTGCAATTGCCTCCTAATTTGACAACCAGGCCTTTGTTGCCGTTTTTTTTTGACTATATAAATATAGGTAGGGGAGGCTTTATATGCACATATATATAAATAAATATATAGACACACACTTATCTGCATAAGGCCTCCCTCTCTCATATAGCTACTTCCTCAGGGAAAAGAAAGAGAGAGGAAATTAATTATTGCACTGTGGGATCAACGTATGAATTTAACTTCTCCCTTGGTAGGTTTTGTTATGAAGTGCATGAATGAGCTGCTAAATAACGCTGCATTACAGTTCGGGGAAAGACTTACAAAATAAACTGCCGAGTGAAAGAAGGATGAGGGTCATGCTGATGTGAAGGGCATCGGTCGCGCTGCAGTCCATTTTGGATTTCTTGCAGGAGCACACTTGCAATTTCAGTTCTGTATTGTTAGTCAGAGGTGGTTTTCCAGAATCTGTCACTGAGATAGGGATGTTGTAATGTGCCTTTTGCAGGTTTTGCAGCAGGATGACCTGGGCATGAGTATCTGCAGAGGAGAAGGAGGTGAGAATTACGCAGCCGAATCTTGGTTGCTTGGGAGGGGAGGAGATCCTAGAAGCAATCCCAGGCATGCCACAGCTATCCAGGGAAATTAAGAGGAAAATGAGAGCATTCAAAGAAAAGGATTAGAGAACAGAATTAGAGTAAGAAGAAGGCAGGTACAGAAATTCTTCTCAGGAACCTAAAGCTAATTGCAAACATACCCCAAACTCCATCAAAAGAAGACTTTCAAGAGTCCCTTTTGTCTAAGTGTATTTGCTCTGCAAATTATTAGAAGAACTTGCCTGTGGAAATGAATATACTAATGAAACACTGAAATATTCTATCCTCAAAGCAATACCCAAGAGGAGAATAAATTTTACCTCCACTGCCCCTAGAACCCCTTTTCCTGCAGAGCAGCACAGATGAAGGTGCTTCCCATTTCCCCTTCAGATCCACAGATCTGTTTCACCTGAGCAACAGCGTGGACTAAGAGCCTTAGGTGTCCTAACTCTTTCAGGGTTAAACAGTGGTGGTTGAGAGCCTGGAGAACAGCAGAGTGCCAGAGAAAATGATTCCTCCCCACTGTCTGTGACAGTGGTTCCCGCAGGCACAGCAGACATCGCATCCATCTTTAGTTCTTCCTAAGCAGGCTGTGAAGTGAACTGCTAAAAGATCCCACAGTAACAGAGCTAAATGGTGCAGACTAGAAAGCAAGTGGAAATAATCTACGTTAGAAACATCTTTTTTTGGTGCATGTGTCTAAAATTTGCCATGTAAATATCCTGCAATTGTATAGCATGATCTTCATGCTATATACTCCAAGTACATGAAATCAGGAAGCTTTTCTAGCACGTTGCTAAAATCCATGCAAAGTCTCATGCTGTCCTGCAGCAAAACCTGATGTGTCTCACACATAAAACTCCCATACAACACAATTTGGTCATCTTTGCAAACATCATTGTACCCTTATTTAATGCAAAGCTAAAAAAAGGCAAGTGCAAGTAATGTGATAGGAAGAGGAAGAAGTTCAGATTCCAATGAAGATGGACAACGATGAACAAAAAAAAAAAAAAAAAAAAAAAAAAGCAGACTTACTGTTAAGCTTGTTGATTCTCCACAACTTCTCTGGGCCAGACTGCTTACTCAATTCAAACTTGAATGGGTCTGTGTTGGGATGAAGATCCTTATCCGATGCTCCTAATACCACCACCCGGAGATCTTTTGCATCATCGCAGACTTTGGCCAGTGTTGGATAAAGGGACGGGATGTTGTCATTGACATCCTCCAAGGTGATGTGTAAAGTTCCTGTCCCTGTCGCAGGAGGGTTACCTACATGAGAAACAAACAGATACGGATTAAATTGTGGTTTCATAAACGCTTACCTGCTCTTCTTTGTAACAGCATATGCACAAATACCATCATTTTTGTTGTTCTTACCTCTGTCACATGCAAGAGTTGCAACTGTAAATCATATTTTCAAAATCCAGCCTGTTTGATTTTTTTAACAGTATGGACAATTACTCCAAGGAAGCCTCTTGGAGTAGAGTATTATGGAGTCGAAACAAGGTTAGGACATGAAGAGATACCAGGAAAATAGCCTGTTCATAAGCACCTACTGAGAGAATCATAATGGGAAATGGCTCCTAGAGTGATAGACGGGTATGAAAAGAACCAAGAACAAGACAAATAGCAGAAAAATGACAGCAGACGGGAAGCAATTTGTACAGCAGGGGCCCATAAACAGCACCAGACCCAATCAGTCCCCAGCAACCCTGAGGACCACACTTAGTCATGTCAGCAGAAGAGAAACCTGGGAACACAGAGCCCCGGGAAATGAGATCTTTTATTTACCGAGAGCCATGCGGGGTCAGTGTGGGCATCTCGGGCTTGCTCAGATGCCTTATGACTGACCCCTTTGCTGGTCTCCAAAGCTTTCTGAACGCACATTTCTTTTCAGAATATTTCAGAATATTTCAGAATATTTAAGGTTGGAAGGGACCTCTACAGATCATCTAGTCCAACCTTCCTGCTCAAGCAGGCACACCTAGAGCATGTGGCACAGGGTGGCATCCAGGCGGGTTTTGAAGACCTCCAGAGAAGGAGACTCCACAACCTCCCTGGGCAGCCTGTTCCACTGCTCTGTCACCCTAACAGTAAAGAAGTTCCTCCTCACCTGGAGACGGAACTTCTTGTGTTTCAGCTTGTGGCCATTACCCCTCGTCCTATCGCTGGCCACCAGTGAGAACAGCCTGTCCCCTTCCTCCCTGCATTCTCCCTTCCTGAACTTATACATATTAATCATATCCCCTCTGAGCCGTCTCTTCTCCAGAGAAAACAGGCCCAGCTCACTCAGCCTCTCTTCATACGAGAGATGTTCCATTCCCTTAATCATCCTGGTTGCCCTTCTCTGGACCCTCTCCAGAAGCTCCACGTCCTTCCTATACTGGGGTGCCCAGAACTGCACACAGTACTCCAGGTGCGGCCTCACCAGAGCTGAGGAGAGGGGCAGAATCACCTCCCTTGACCTGCTGGCAACACTCCTCCTGATGCAGGCCAGGATGCCATTGGCCTTCTTGGCCACGAGGGCACACTGCTCACTCATGGTTAACTTGGTGTCAACCAGGACTCCCAGGTCCCTCTCCGTGGAGGTGCTTTCCAGCAGGTCGACCCCTAATCTGTACTGATGCCTGGGGTTATTCCTCCCCAGGTGCAGGACCCTGCACTTGTCCTTATTGAACCTCATGAGGTTCCTCTCTGCCCAACATTTCTTCCTCCTATGCCTCCCACCCCTAATGATTTCCCCCTTGAAAGGCTGCACTTCTGCAGGGGTGGTTGGTTTTGCCCATTTTTCTGTTTTAATGCACAAAAGTATGCTCACAGAAAGGATTCAGGAGGTCATCCCCAGGCTGCAAAGCAGCCGCGCGCGGCGCCGCGGTCGCTGAGAGCCTGGCCCGGGAAGCGGCTCGCGTTGGCTCCATCACCCTGCGCGCCCCAGTCCATAAACGAGGGAGTTACCGCTGCACTGCAAGCCCAGCCGGGGAGAGAAGTAAATACCTTGTGGTCCGGATCTGATAAACTACCAACTGTAGCTGCACGCAATTAGTCCTCTTAATGACAAATGTTACTAATGGTGACACTTCATCTATTCTGCGCACACATAAATGCATAACAAAGGCACCGTTTCCACAGTTCTCCAGCTTTTCTTCCTCCCCTTTCCTCTCTCGCTTTGTCATCACAAGGGTTAGGGTTGAGTTATTTTTAATGAAAAAGAAATTATTTTTCACTTTTTATTGCACTAATTGAATTTGCAGAAAGACTCCAATACATTTTTTTGTTCTTGATATATTATTAAGTAAAGTCATACGGCAGAATGGATGAAAAGACATTTGAGTATTTGAAATATGATCATAAAAGCCAGCCTTTCATGCACTTAATTAAACTGCTGTCTTTAATTTTGAATGCATTATTTCCACACTGGACTGATAATGTCTCATGCACTGCCCTTCTTATCTTTCTCTGAAGTCAGTAATATTAAAATCTGCCTTTTGAAATTAAGAAGGCAACAGCATTATGAATATACTGTTATTTTGTCAAATGTAGATATGGCTGCATTTTCTCTGCCACGCTAATGTTTCACTATCTTTATATGGCTTTTGGGCCAGTCAACTATTATGCACCAAGACAGAGAAAGGAAATTGCTTCTGTCCATTTCAATGACTTATTCTTTGGTTGTTTTATTCATAAAGGTTTAAAAAAAAAAGGTGATTTATGAAGACTTACAAAAGAAAAATAAGCAAATGTCAAGGTCATAAACTGAAGCTTGTTAACACGCACGTCATAAGAAAAAGGAACAAAAAAATGAGTCAAGGAAAAACGGCCACAACATATCCATTGGGAATATGTGACTTTTATAAATGTGACACCATTACGCCTTTACAATAAGAACCACTCAAAAATCCCATGATCTCTCGTCAGCTCTGGTTTTGAAATGAAAGCCTTTCCCCAGCATATTTTAATTCTGAAACAAAACTTCACTCCCTTCTTATTGTAAAACTTTGCAATTGAGAGCAGGGATTAACGCACAAGCCAAGCCCTGAAGGGCTCAGTCCACCCGCTCTGGGGAGCAGATTTTCAAAGGAGCCCAAATGAACTCGCTGCTCCTACTGAGGCTGAAGGCTTTGAACCTTCAGGTGCCTGGGTTAGAGCCATTCAGAGCAGAGACTTTCCAGCTCCTGCTGCGACTGCCACAGGTTGCATAGCTGTGAATGGCATACGAGTGGAATAGGAATGAAATGGCATTACTAGCATGTGTATAAGCTACTAAAATGGGGATTGAGGGCCTATTTCCAGCTAATTTTGTATTTAATAAAAATGAGAGCTAGGTATCAAATACTGACTTTGATAATCTTGGAAAAAAATCAGAAACTTCATGAGAAGCTTTCAACAAGATCTCAAAGCACATCAAGTTTATGGGACTGGAACACTGATAAGCAACACTAAAGAAGTGCAGATGCATCTTAAAGCCTGCTGCAGAAGGAAAAGTGGATGTATGCTACTTATTTGAATTGCATCTGAACTGGAAATGTCATGTCCTAGCATTAGATTGCATACAACGCTTCTGATATAGCAGTCTTCAGTTAGGCAATAGCTCCTGCTTTTGTAAGATGCAACAGTCAAAAAATAGACTAACAAAAGTAGTTTTCTTTCATGAGTTAGAGACTGTCATAGAATATGATGGTACCTATTGTCTGGGAACTGGAAGCTTTAATGCCAGGGACTGTTACCTGAAGATGTAGATGTTAAATTGGCTTCTTGTGCTATCACTATAAATGACCATTTTGCTACCTTTATTTAGAAGTGAATAGTTTCAAAAGAAATATTCTAGATATAGGCATTTTGGATGCTTTCTCTATTTTGTATTGTAATGAAATACCATGCAAAATTATACTGGAATTATTAGTATAAAGTCCTAAATTATAAGCCCTCTGTCAAAACATCTGGCCAAAAAATTTTTTATAACTGCCATTCATTTTTGATACTCTTAAGTTCCAATAGGGACAATGACAGCATTTTAACATCTAACTACTCAAATGGGACTGCCAATCACATAGATTCTTAAAAGGGAGCAATTACACACAATGATGGCCATGGACTAAGGAGACATTTTTCTTCAGTATCAAGACTTACATAAAATGGCATATCTAACAAGCAATCACATGGCTGGTGAGGTGTTTAATCGGAGTATAACATTCTCCTATGGACATGGAGATGCATTTCATGTTCCATTTTTTAGTTTTCCTCCAGAAATGCTGCTGGATAGGGATTTCTACCATGGCTGAGTTGTGCACCATGAAATTAAAGACAGTATTTGGACTGCTTTGAAACTGAATTGAGATGTTTGTATTTAGTCCAAATTCCAGCAGTAAAAGCTGTAATTTATTTGAAATGACAGCAAAAACAGAGTTGGAAATCACCACACAACAGGTGTTATTTCCATATCTGCCTAGAGCAATTAGAAGCCAAATACTTCTAAAAGTCAATGGAAGTTGAGACATGGATTTTTGGGGGTATTCCAGAGGAAACCTCAGACTGTATCTGAGAGCTGTCCACATAATATTGGGTATCGCTGCACCCTGTGCGTCCTGTGAACACCTAAAGCCCTATTTTGCCTTTCCTGCTGGTGGATTTGTTTGACTTGATGCCAATGAACCTCAGGGAACGTAACATCGGCTGCACTAATATCCGGGCTGCTATTTCCATGCTCAGTAATGTTTTCATTATTAACGGAGCTCTATCAAGAATAGCAACACAAGAAGAAATAATTTAGGCCCTTCACTGTTGGCAACTCCACAGTTCTCGTGTTCAGACACTAATATTCCCTTCTAGGAGTACAGCTGGGCACGATGGTGGTGAAAATCTTGTAGACCCCATCCAAAATAAAGTGCTAGCACTTACTTTTAGAAGCCAGTCTGAACTATTTCAGACTGGTAGAACATCTTCAAGGTGCAAGAATTGTCTAAAAACATCTCAAAGAGAAAGCAGCTCGTAAAAATGTAATCCTTTTCTTACAGCTGTCCTTGTCCTATTCTGCAGCAAATCCCCAAATTAGCCTAAACGATCCCCAGAGCTAGTGAAATTCCCTAATGGGCTAGCGACCTTGATTGCACTTGCCAAGCTATCAAAAACCATATTAAGAATGTTGAAAGTCTTGGACATTTTGGATTATGGTGAGTTAGAATTGTCCTTGAAGCTGAAGACGCATGTTTCTTAGAGCTGTAGAACATAGCCAAGCAAAACAACTAATTAAAAAGTACTTTAAAAACGATGCT